GCACTAGCCCTCTTTGCAAAGAAGGCGAAAAACCTTGGAAAAAATACAGATCTCATGATTCCAAAGCATTGAGCCATGCTGGCTAAAATGGTGTCAAACTACATAAATTCTACTGTTTAGATGCACCATGGTCTGTTTTGCCTCTTATTGAATGTTCTAATATTGAAAAATGCTATTCATCATAGAGTCCACTATTTCTTAAGAAAGTATCGATCTCTTACATTATAAGCCCCTGCTGCATTTAAAAATAGTTTTATTGTGCCCTGAAATGGTAGGTAATGTGCTAAGCACTGAACCGAATTCAAGTAACTTATTGCCTTGGCCACTGGCTCTAATTTAATTTATTTTAGAGCGGACTTATGGACTGTGGCTGATGGTAAAACTGGAACGCAGCCTTCTGATGTGTCTGGAAGGGGGCATTATGCAAAAGTGTTCAGAATATGAAATTCTTCTGATTTTAGCCTGTAAAATAAATCTTTCTTATTAGTACTACTGTTGATAACTTTGATGCCACCTGTATGGAAATAAAAACTCTCTTGTTGGTGTGCAAAACATACCACTGTTGCCAGTTAACTCTTGAAGGATAAGCTGACATACTAAAACCAAAGCTTGGGTCTGTTGTTGCCTAAACACATTTGTAAAGACCCTGAACGAGTTGGATATTTGTGTCCAGTTTGAAACACCTTTCTTCACACCAGAGCTGCAGTGGCAGAATTGTATACACAGTGCCATTTTGCATGGATATGCATTGCACATTGATGCATATAGTTTGTGTGTGCATTCATATTTGCATTCTTGGTTCAGTTGTGTATTATAGTCATTCAGTTCTGATGCTGCCAAGAAACACCTTTCTTGGAAGCATCAGAACTACTGCAGCACTTCTAGGCTCACAGTGATTGCAAAGAAACTTGTGTTCAATTTTACTGAACAATGCAGAGATCTAAGCAAACTCACAGGGCTGCAATCTCCCTGCCCATTTCTTAGTGCAAGTCATCTACCCTAATTATAAAGGCTAAGCCAAATCTTAAACTAGGTAGAAATAAGTCAAAATAATCAATGACATCATAGACACATCATTTGAGAAAGCCTTCTTCTGGCAGATCTACCCAGTCAATTTTAGCCGATAAATTTTAAATTTAGATTTTATTAGCATTGGTGTTTTAATCTTCATTCTGTGTTTTTAATATACATATGTTTTATCTATTTTATCATGTATTTAACTATGTTGTACTGCCCCTCAAGCCATGAAGAGAGGCAGAAAACAAATTTGTTATTATTTTATTTTATTTGTTGTGTCAGGGCAACCAGACAATTATATTACATTTCTAACAGAACAAAGCAAACAAAAAGGCAAAATACAAAATTTGTGAGTTTGGTAGTTGATTAAATGTCCTTTGACCAGTAGCTGGCCACTTGGAGTGCTTCTGGTGTTGCTGCAAGGAGGTCCTCCATGGTGCATGTGGCAGGGCTCAGGTTGCATTGCAGCAGGTGGTCAGTGGTTTGCTCCTCTCCACACTCGCATGTCGTGGACTCCACTTTGTAGCCCCATTTCTTGAGGTTGGCTCTGGCATCTCATGGTGCCAGAGCGCAGTCTGTTCAATGTCTTCCAAGTTGCCCAGTCCTCTGTGTGCCCAGGGGGGAGTCTCTCATTTGGTATCAGCCATTGGTTGAGGTTCTGGGTTTGAGCCTGCCACTTTTGGATTCTCGCTTGCTGAGGTGTTCCAGCGAGTGTCTCTGTAGATCTTAGAAAACTATTTCTAGGTTTAAGTCGTTGACGTGCTGGCTGATACCCAAACAAGGGATGAGCTGGAGATGTCTCTGCCTTGGTCCTTTCACTATTGGCTGCCACTTCCCGGCGGATGTCAGGTGGTTATTATTATTTGATACACAACAAGGTTAGTACACAGCAAACAAGATGACTATGTTGTCTTTTGTATTGGATCACACGTCGGGCACTGTGTGAGGTGTCAGCGAATAATGTGTGCAGATCCGAGTAGGATGGCCTTTTGCAGCTGACAGATGGTAATTTTGTCGGCGCCAATTGTTTTTTAGTGCAGGCCAAGGTCTTTAGGCACTCAGTGTGCCAATCACCACTGGGACCACCTTTCCTGTCTTGTGCTGGATTCTTTGCAGTTTGATGATGATGATGATGATGATGATTACAACATATTAGAATGAATGGCAGTTCCAGATCCTGCATATATCACCCTGCTTTTTTCTGGCAGATCCTTCAGTTAATATATTCCTTGGGGAAGGGGGGAAAGGATAGTAAACCCCATTTCAAAACCAGCTACACTGCCTCTTATTACTGGTGCCTGATTGAGCTAACCCATTTTCTATACAAATACACTGGTTTACATCACACTATATAATTATACCATTACAAATTCCAGGTTTCCTTAGAGTGCAGCTATGATGCTCTTTATCAGCTGTTATTAAGGATTTGTGAAGCATAGCTACAGATCATAAATACCTTTGTGTGTGGAGGAACTGGTTTGTAAAGGACCAATGGCAAACAATTTTGACCCAGGGTGGGCAAATTCTACCAGTCTGGGGAACCCGCATTGGGTCTCAGCCTTGTTCCACTCCTGATTCCTGACCGTATTTTTTTTAATTCCCCAAATTTCCTCATGACTTCTGTAAGGAAGTTATCAATGCTTTATATGTATTTGAGCTGTTTGTCTGTTTGCTGGGTGGCAATGGCTAAAAGCTGGAGTTTACTAGTTATCTCCACTGTGGCGTTGCCGGGGAAACCAAGCAAAAGAGAGTGGGCGGAGCCTAGAAAGAAAAAAATCCACCTGCGTTTGAAAAGAGTCAGTTAGTGTCAGGGAGAGTTAGAAGTCGGTCAGTTAGTGTCAGGGAGAGTTAGAAGTCAGTCAGTTAGTGTCAGGGTCAGAGTTAGAGTCGGTTGGAGTTAGAAGTCAGGTATAGAGGAGTGGAGAGTTAAGTTTTAGTGTTCAAAGTGAACAGTAGAGAGAATAGTGAGAAGTAGAAAGATAGATCTAAGTTAAGACTATCTATGCTGCTGTAAGATTTACTGACAGACAAACTATCTGTTCAGTATTCTGGTGTAAAGGGAGAAAAGAAAGTCTCTTATGTAACAAAGACAGAACAATTTATGTAACCATCATGCTTTAAGACACAGCTTGCTGAAACAGTCAAGAATTTTAACTATATTTGTTCCTGTTTTAATTAATAAACTTTATTGATTATTATTCGACAAATCCTGACTCAAGTGTGACTCTATCCTGGAAGATTTTTAAAGCAGCTTTGGATAGCTGAGAAGAAAGTTATGGTGGCAGCATTGATTAATGATCTGAATAGATCTTTATAATTTTGGTCTCTAATGAGTGAGATCTGATCGCAAAGTGGTAACATTCGGTGACATTAAAACAGCCATCTCTCCCTCCCTCCTCCCGCATCGTTTGCAAATTGGCCAGCTAAACAGCCATCTCTCTCCCTCCCATCTTCGCTCTTTACAAATTAGAAGACAGCAAGGTGGTATATTATTGCAAATTAATAAAGTGGAGAGACGTCTCTTCGCAACTTCTAAGAGATGCGGGAACATTTGCTGTTTTTGCCCTTCCCGTGGCATGTTTTGAGTCTATTTCAGGCCATTTTAATGACTGAAAGCCCTTCAGGTTTTGAAAAAAAGCAAAGCCCACCCTGGCTTAGGAGAGGGTTTTCTTTTATTACCACCACAATGGCAGGTCCACCTGGTGAGGACATGGGAGGGAGCCTTTGCTGTGAAATTCCCCTCTGCTTTCCTTTTTGCCAGCCCCTTATTCAAACAGGCATTTAATGATTAACTGACTGCAGGGAGTCATTTTATGGAATCCTGTGCTGTAGTTTTTGATCTCATGCTTTTAAATGATTTTACTTGCCATGCTTTAAATGTTAATCATGTTTTCATAAGATAATCTGTTTAATTGTGTTTTAATGTTTTTTATTTTCAGGCTTTCAGTTTTGTTTTAAGTTTTAATGCAATGGGATTTTGTAGTACCTTTGAGACAGAGAACTTGTAGCATAAACTTTCACAGATTGAGGATCAATCTACACTGTAGAATCAGTGTTATTTGACACCAAATTAAATGGCATAGCTCGGTGCTATGGAATTATGAATGTTATTGGTGCCTCACTAAACAACTCTCCTGATTCCATAGCACTGAGCCGTGGCAGGTAAAGTGGCATCAAGCTGTATTAATTTTACAGTGTAGATCAGGGGTCCTCAAACTAAGGCCCAAGGGCCGGATATGGCCCTCCGAGGTCATTTACCCGGCCCTCACTCAGGGTCAACCTAAGTCTGAAATGACTTGAAAGTACACAACAACAATAATCCTATCTCATCAGCCAAAGGCCGGCCCACACTTCTCACTAGTAAGTTTATATTTGTTAAGATTGTTCTTTATTTTAATTATTGTATTGTTTTCAAGTGTTTTTGCACTAGAAATAAGATATGTGCAGTACTCATAGGAATTCATTCGTGTTTTTTTCAAATTATAATCCGGCACCCCAACAATTTGAGAGACTGTGACCTGGCCCTCTGTCTAAAAGGTTTAAGGACCCCTGGTGTAGATAGACTCTTAGTCTACATCTTCAGAGGAATGGCTTTTCTGTGCATATTCTCAAAGCTACAGGATCCCTTTGCATACTGATAAACCAGATTAACAACTGTCTTCATTTTAATCTTGTGGTAAGAAACCTTGGGCTCCATGCTACTAAGCAAGGAAATAACTAACTGAAATAGGTTGAGGTAAGAAGTAATATTATCCTACATATGCCATACAGACTCTGGGTGTTTAATTTGCCATTTTGGGAGGTGACAAATTTGCTAAAAGGGTGGGGGGAGTGTTGGGACCTTGTGGGGTTGCATCTCTCTAATTTAGATTGAACCCAACACATTAAAACCTGTGAACAAAAACCAAGACGTTCCTGAACGGATGCCAATGCTTTTTGTCCTTTAGCCACAAAAGTTCCAGGGGAAAAAAAATCAATGTAGATTTTATTTAAATTGTCATTTATTCATTTGAATTTGCATAATAAGCGTTGATTTCAAGAAATTATAATTTCAGAGAAAAAGATCAAAACAACTTTAGAATGGATTGGGAATCAATCCTAAATTTTATATTAAAAAAGACAAAAGACACACAATTATGGACTGAAGGTTTCAAATCAGTTTGAAGCAGGAAGAAGCACCACCCTGGTTTTATGTAGATACAATGATTTAATTTGATTTTATGCAGATACAATGATTAGAGTCTTAGTGAGAGCTTTAACCTAGGATGATACATATTATATATGTCATGATAATATATGTCTCCTACAAGGAATGGGAACTCAATAGTGAAGATTAAGGAGGGGAGAAGATGGAAAGAAATACAGTAGACTCTCAGTTATCAGAACTCTCAAGCAAAAATAACTAAAATTGCATACTGCATTCACCAAGCTGTTCTTATAATACAGTAATGATGTTATATTATGTTTGTCTCTATTTGTCTTAAATTGCTTTTCATTACAGTATTTCAATATTAATATTAAGTCAATACAGAGTTTATGGTATGATATAATATGGGTTATTGACCTCAAGCAACTGGAAACTGTATTACCTGGCATGTACCAATCCCCATGGGTGTTGGTTAACTAAGAGTCTACTATAATGCTATTTTATCGTATTGTATAAAACATCTGTAGTACAATTGTGAAGAAAAATTACAAAAAGCAAATCATAAAAAAATCATAATAGAAAAAAATCTGAAGAGCTGTCTAGAAATAGGACAGTTCATCATGCTTTCCTTTCTTGCTTTGGTAGCTGGTGAGCTCTGGTGGCTTGTTCTCATGAGGGAGGCTTTTGAAGATTCGCATGTGAATAAATTCATCATCTCCAACATGGACCTTGACAAAGTAGTTTACTCCAGCAACCACCTGGGTTTTAAACCCGACCGCAGTGAAAACATCAAAGGTCTTGCCTTCTTTCTCTTCCAACTGGGCCTTGACTTGCTGGATGATCTGCTGCGTCTCTTCAGTGGCCGGCTTGGTCTCTAAGGTGCCACCACACTTCATCTTCCACGCCTTTGGGGTGACTTCCACGTAAAAAGACTAGTGGGACCAACTGTGACCCTTTTCAGTTCGTGGAGCAAGTAGCTGTCGGAGAAAGAAGAAGAAAAAAGACAGAGAAAGAAGAAAATTAGAGCATCTGCTCTTGTTGTCTGGATAAAGTAGTTCTGGGTCCTCTGTAGTTTTTTTGCATTAACTTGAATTGTGCATCACTTTCATTTTAAAGAAGGGGAAAAACATGAGGAAGTTAACATAGAAATATAGTAGACTCTCAGCTAGAAATCAAACAACCAGGATTCTCAACAGCTGGCAAAAAATTGAAGAAATAATACTTTAAATTAAAAAGAACTGTTTTTATAATACATGTTCTATTAAGTTACATTAGTCTTTATTTGCCTTTAATTATTGTAGGTAAAGGTTTCCCCTGACATTAAGTCTAGTTGTGTTGGACTCTGGGGGGTGGTACTCATCTCCATTTCGAAGCCGAAGAGCCAGTGTTGTCCGTAGACACCTCCAAGGTCATGTGGCCAGCATGACTGCACGGAGCGCCATTTCCTTCCAGCAGCAGTACCTATTGATCTACTCACATTTGCATGTTTTGCCAAACTGCTGGGTTGGCAGAAGCTGGGCCTAACAGCGGGAGCTCACCCTGCTCCCTGGATTCGAACTGCCAACCTTTCAGTCAGCAAAGTTCAGCAGTTCAGTGGTTTAATCCACTGTGCCACCAGGGGGTCCTTTAATTACTGTATCACAATATTAATATCAAGTTAATATAGAGTTCACCAGTGGTTTTCAACCTGGAGTCCCCAGATGTTTTTGGCCTACAACTCCCAGAAATCCCAGCCAGTTGACCAGCTGTTAAGATTCTTGGGAGTTGAAGGGAGTTGAATATTGGGGGGGGGGGCAGTATTAGTCATGTCTTTAATAGTAACTCCTAAACAACCTGAAATTAAATTTATCCAGCATCTACCAATCCCTATGGGTGGGGCCACATCTTCACTGACATATAATGCAGTTTGAAATTACATTATATAGTCAGTATAGATTCATATAAAACAGTTTAACTGTACTGAACCACATTATAGGAGTCTACACTGATTCTATAATGCTATTTCAAATTGCATTATATGGCAGTGTAGGTGGGGGCTGAGAGTCTACTCTGTATATCTTGTTTTCCTTGAAAATGAAGCATAGCGCTAGAGTATTATTAATGTATCCCTTATTACTATCATCTTGAAAATTAAACAGACTCCCTTGTTTAAAAGGCTGAGTAAGCTTTTGCCACTGCTAAAGAATGCTCGAGTGTTTTCTTTCTCATTTCAGTTTATAGATTACAGGCCCTCCTCCTCTTTCTGCCCTAGAAAATACATCTCTTTCCAACCTGCTCAACAACAGAACTCCACTCTATCAAATATGCATGTGATGCTCTTTGAATCGAGAGCAGGTTGAAAAAGGAAAGAACAGATGAGAAATTATCCTAAAGGAAGTCTTATGGGTGCCCTTGAAATGCACAGTGAAATCCTTCACGGCACTTAGGTGGGCCCTGACAACAATCCTGTAAAAACCGAATCCCAAATAATTCCTTCTAAAAATAAGTGAGCCTTGCACCTTGTCACAAGGTTAAAACATCGTTACAGCAGGAAATGCTTTTCTTACTAGGGCAGGAGGGTTGCTGAAAGGTCTCCTCTGGTTTTGTAATACAACACTCCTGTTTAATCAATTGCAGAAGTGGGGGAAAGTGCAGTCCTGCCAGTGGAGTTTCATTGTACCATACGAGGGGAAAATACTACTCTGCATTCACGGGGGGCTTGACACAATGAACAAGCATTCCAAAATAGGATTTAGCTGTGCTGGGAAACACACTCAGCCTTCATTCTGCAGTGCAATAAAGAGGTATTAACTCAAAAGAGCCCTTTGAAAAGTTTGGCCCTGCTGCATACCGCTGGCACTGAGTCAGTATGACTGCACTGTAAAACTTGGGACTCTATTAATGTCCATGCGAAACAATTAGACGAGTACGGCAATTAGTCTGTGATACTGTATGATGTAAACAATAGTTTAAACATTTTTACAACTAATGCAGCTCAGTTGCCGAAATGCAATACTACTTATTTTAATTGTACCTTGTGGTACTTCTTGCATGATTTCTTTTGGTTACTTTTTGCAAAATGCAAAAAGTGTTTCATGCATTTTAATAGGTTTTTAATGGTTTTACTGGTTTGAACTATTTTTAATATTATGTTGATATCTATTTTAGTGTTTTATAAGTTTTAAGTTTTAAATTATACATTGTATTGTTTCTGGCATTGTTAGCCACTTTGAGTCTGTTTTAAGAGAGAACAAGCAGCATATTAATAAACATAAACATAATAATAATAACAACAACAATAATTATAAATGGGAAAAGGGGGAATCATTTAAAAACACACACAGTGGTATTCATTGGAAATCTATCAGTTAAATTTATGGATTGATAATATGCGCCCACATGCCCTCAGAAGTGTTAATCCAGAAATGATGAGCTTAAGGAAAACCCAGAAGTTAGATCTTCAGATTATTGAATGATAAGTGATGAATTTTTGTATTGCCAAACCTGAAGCACACTGCTCTTTCTATGGGTCTTGGTCCATCAATGCTCTTTCAGACCATGCTGCAGAAATGTAATTCGCCAGCATGTGGACATGCCAAATATTTTTAAAGACATCATTAACACGATTTTTACCCACGTTTACTCTCCATTTTTCCCTTTAGCTGCTCTGAGTCCCCCTGCGGGGGGGGGGGGGTGAGAAGAGCAGGGTAGAAATGCTGTAAATAAAATAAATAAAATTTCCTAAAATGAGATCAAGGTAGTATGTGTAGTTTCCCCCTAACAAACTTGCAACAAACATTTGAGTCAGGTCAGCAGCATAAGCCAGGACTTGAATGAGTGATCTTCCTTTGTTGTTACTTAGTAAGGCAATAACATTGCCATCATGAAAAAAATATAATTGTACTGAAAAATGCAGGAATTTATCTTCAGTACAGTACTACTGTAACACAATGCAGATATGTTTGTGTTCTGTGAAATACTGCCAAATGCCAATTAATGTCACACATCTAGTCTGACCTGTGACCAAGAATGAGAAACTGTGACAGAGCTGTTTAAATGAAAGACAGGTATTGTAAAAAATTAGAATATTTAAAAATAATGCCCAGTATTTTTAGTCTTTCAATGCTCAAGAGGAAGAAAGAGCAGTAGTTCTGTTTTCAGTCTCATCTGCAAAGATACTCCTTTGTTTTCTTGCATATAGGTAGATGACTGATATCATTTAATTCATTAGAAATCTTAATATCTTGTTTCTCAGTGTCAGGTGCATCTGCACTGTAGAACTAATGCAGTTTGACACCATTTTCATTGCTATGGCTCAATACAATGGAATAATGTAGTTTGTTGTTTAGTAAGGCACAAGGCACTCTTTGATAGAAAAGGCTTGTAAAATTAAATCTTCAGTTCTACATAGAATTATAGAATCAAAGAGTTGGAAGAGACCTCATGGGCCATCTAGTCCAACCCCCTGCCAAGAAGCAGGAATATTGCATTCAAATCACCCCTGACAGATGGCCATCCAGCTTCTGTTTAAAAGCTTCCAAAGAAGGAGCCTCCATCACACTCCGGGGCAGAGAGTTCCACTGCTGAACGGCTCTCACAGTCAGGAAGTTCTTCCTCATGTTCAGATGGAATCTCCTCTCTTGTAGTTTGAAGCCATTGTTTCTGTCCTAGTCTCCAAGGAAGCAGTAAACAAGCTTGCTCCCTCCTCCCTGTGGCTTCCTCTCACATATTTATACATGGCTATCGTATCTCCTCTCAGGCTTCTCTTCTTCAGGCTATACCTATAATAACAAGATATCATGATCTTCTGATATTACAGGATCTCATGAACTGTGGATTCAAATGAAATACTAAAAGCACAACTATGAAGTCAGTTGCCTCAAAGGAATCCTATTAAAAACCCAATAGTCCAATGAGTAAAAAATGCCTGGTCCTAGAATATTCCCCCACCACCCCTGTAGCAACTCTGTCTGTGAGAACTTGTTTAGGTAAAGTTCAACCTAGCTGCAGGCGATCACATTCCAAATGTTGAAATGATCTCTCTGGCACAGAAACTACAGAAGAGGTTGGCCTGCTGGCTGAACTTAAATCTCAACATGGTGATAATTCCATAACATCTGTAAAGCTTTTGGTAATATATATATTTTAAAGGAATCATGTGTTGTGGGCTTGGGCTGTTTCATTTGGAACCAAGAAAACCACAAGAATTATGAGAATGAGAAATGCGCCAGGGCCAAATCACTCCATACTGTATATCACAGTCTTTTTACTATTCTGGTGCTGCACTCACACGCAAAGCAGATTAAAAAACCCCTTCCATTAGTACAGTGGTTCCCAACCTTTGGGCCTCCAGGTGTTTTGGACTTCAACTCCCAGAAATCCCAGCCAGCTTACCAGCTGTTAGGAACTAAAGGCCAAAACACCTGGAGGCCCAAAGGTTGGGCACCACTGCATTAGTAGAAGGCTGAAAGGCAGATTGGGCTTGCGCCTTGATGCTTCTGACATTAGCGAACCCTGAAGGCACCAGATCCTGTTTCATTGTGGAAGCTAAGCAGGGTCAGCTCTGGTTAGTACTTGGATGGGAGACTGACAAGGAGTGGCAGTTATTGTACTTGATATTTCAGAGGAAGGAACTGGCAAAACAACCTCTGATGATACCTTGCCTAACAAAATCCTTTGAAATTTGTGGGATTGCCGTAAGTTGCCAGGAGACGTGAAGGCATATACACTTCAACTATAAGGATGTCATAAGCAATTAATTCATCTTAAGAGCCCAATGTAAAACATAGAGTCTGTTTACAACAAAACAAGAACCCTGGCAAGCAAATCGATGAAGAAGAGTATTATTTAGGAAAGAAGACTTGATTCATTCCTCAAAAAGGCTGAGCTTACCTTATCCACAAACCTGAAATGTTCCAAAATCCAGTTTTGTCCACATTGCTGGCTGAGACAGTGACACCTTTGTGTTCCAATGGTTCAATGTACACACACTTTGTCTCAAACATAACATGATTAAAAATACTGTATATAAAATTACTCCAGTCCCTGTGCATAAAGTATATATGAAATATAAATTAATGTTGTGTCTAGACTGGGGTGCTATTGCCAAGAGATGTCATTATATATCTTCCAAATATTTCAAAATCCTGAAAAAACTGTGAAATCCAAAACTCTTCTGGTCTCAAGCATTCCAAGGAAGGGATACTCAGACTGTAGTTCCTTTTCTATCAGGCTGTGATTTGCTCGGACAACGCCCCAGGTTTAGTCAGCAAAATCCAACTTTGTGCTGATGCTGCAGCTGCCACAGAGAAGAACATCGTTTTTAAAAAGTATTCCCAGGAAAAATGGTTTGCAACTTTTAGTCCTCCAGTGCAGCAGCTACACGGTAGAATAAATGCAGCTTGACAACGCCTTAACTCCTCAATGATATAGAATCCAAGAGAAGGCTGAAGACCTTGGAAACCTACAACTCCCTGCATTCCATAGTCTTGAGCCATGGCAGCTAAAGTGGTTTCAAACTGCATTCACTCAACAATGTAGATCAGGCATGGGCAAACTTTGGTCCTCCAGGTGTTTTGGACTTCAACTCCCACAATCCCTAACAGCCTACTAGCTGTTAGAGATTGTGGGAGTTGAAGTCCAAAAGACCTGGAGGGACAAAGTTTGCCCGTGCCTGGTGTAGATGCATCCTCAGGCTTTTGGACTACAGTTCCCAGAATTCCTAATAACAGGCCATGCTAGCTGGGGTTTTTGGGGATTTCCAAATTTTGGGCATCACTGTTTCAGGATTTTGGAAAGACATGAGAGCGAGGTGTTTAAGTAAATCTTTAAGTAATATAACCATAAATTTGGGGAGTGTCTGGAGGGGAGGATCTACTGACACTATAATATATAATAATCATAACAAAATAATAATAATAATAATAATAATAAAAGGTAAAGGTTGTCCCCTGACATTAAGTCCTGTCATTTCTGACTCTAGGGTGTGGTGCTCATCTCCATTTCTAAGCTAAAGAGCCGGAGTTGTCCATAGACACCTCCAAAGTCATGTGGCTGGCATGACTTCATGGAGTGCCGTTACCTTCCCGCCAGAGTGGTACCTATTGATCTACTCATATTTGCATGTTTTTGAATTGCTAGGTTGGCAGAAGCTAGGGCTAACAGTGGAAGCTCACACTGCTCCCCGAAATCGAACCTGTGACCTTTCGGTCAACAAGCTCAGCAGCTCAGCTCTTTAACCCACTGCGCCACCGGGGGCTCCTAATAATAATAATAATAATAATAATAATAATAATACATATGAACATAAAATAAATACAACATATTGCATAGATAAACACACACACACACAAAAAGTACTATAAGCATAAATTTGGAGAGTGTCTGGAGAGGAGGATCTACAGACTTTGCCATATATTATTATTAATAATAATAATAATCATCATCAATTATTTATTCCCTGCCTCCCCTGCTAGCTCAAAGTGGGGTACAACAAAGTCAAAAACATAAAAGATATGCAATAAATTACATAGATAAAAACACATTTTTTTTAGTAATATAACCATAAATTTAACCTGACATATTTCAGGTCATGGTTGAACTTTTAAATTCCTCCCTCTGGCAACGGCCTTGCCCAGTGGTGATTGGCACACTGGGTGCAGTGCTTAAAGACCTTGGCCTGCACTTAAAAACAATCAGCATTGACAAAATTACCATTTATCAGCAGCAAAAGGCCACCCTACTGGGATCTGCACGCATTATTTGCTGATACATCACACAGTCCTAGACACTTGGGAAGTGTCTAGGACTGTTGTGCCCGTACCTTGGGAAGTCTGATCTGGCCACAGTGGTCTACGCTCGTTACATCCCAAATAGATTACTGCAACGCACTCTACGTGGGGTTGCCTTTGAAAACGGTTCAGAAACTTCAACTAGTCCAGCGGGCGGCAGCCAGACTACTCACCGGAGCGTCATACAGGGAGCATACCACCCCTCTGCTATATCAGCTCCACTGGCTGCCGATCCAGTTCCGAGCACAATTCAAAGTGCTGGTTTTGACCTACAAAACCCTATACAGTTCCAGCCCAGCGTATCTGTCCGAATGTATCTCCTTCTATGTCCCACCTTGGAGTTTACGATCTTCTGGGGAGGCCCTGCTCTCGGCCCCACCTCTATCACAAGTGAGGTTGGTGGGGACGAGGAGCAGGGCCTTCTCAGTAGTGGCCCCTCACCTGTGGAATTCGCTTCCTGGGGAAATTACAAAAGCCAGCATAGTGAACTTGTTTGTTGTGTACATATCTGGTTATGTATCAAATGATGATGACGATGATGATGATAATAATAACCAACCTCTCCTGCTGGCTCGAAGTGGGGTACAACAAAGTAAAAAACATAGGAACATAAAATATATGCAATAAATTATATAAACACACACACACACCAAACACAAATACAGAATTGACACATAGTAGCAATAGAAGGAAGGAGAAACACTGAGAGAAAATGCATCTGTATCAGTCCTGGGCAAACTTGGGCCCTCCAGATGTTTTGGAATTTAACTCCTACAATTCCCAACTGATCTACACTAAATATTTAATGCAGTTTGACACTACTTTAACTGCTATGTAAGAATCACGGAGTTTTACAAGGCCACAAGCTTTTACAAGGGCGTTAGCCAAGAGTCAGGCTACATTTGTTTTTGGACTTCAACTCCCAGAAGCCTTAGCCAGCTTGTCCAATGGTTAGGAATTCTGGGAGCTGTAGTCCAAAAACAATCCAGTTTGGCACCCTCTTTCATTGCAATGGGATCATGGGAGCTGTAGTTTTACAAGGCCTCACAAAGAGTGAGCAAATTACAAATCTCAGAATGGAATCGCGCCCAGAAGCCTCCCCTTTTCCTTTTCACCCGGCGCGGCCTACGAAGCCGCGGCCTCGCGTGATTCCTCCTGCCGAGTTCGAGATCCGGGCCTCACCTGATGCTCTCCGCTGCTGGGCTCGGCCTCCGAAGTTGCTTCAGGAAGGGAGCGCCTGAGGGGATGGATGCGAGAGGGAAGAAGAGAAGGAGGAAGGAAGGGAAGGAGGATGACTCAGGAGGGCGGGCCCGGGATGCAGGACTAGGCCTCAAACAGAGAAAGAAGGAAGGAAGGAAGGAAGGAAAGCAGGCAGGAGGAGGTTGGGAAGTTGCTGTCTCATTCGCCACCACTATAACATCCGCAAATGCACAGTCAGGGCAGGTTGAGATTCCCCCTCACTTCCTGTCTCTGTGAAAATTGGATTTTGAAAAAATGGCTTGTTGTGGAAACAAGGATTGGTTTATTTATTTATCATGTCAGGAGCAACCAGACATTTCTATTACATTTTTAACAAAACAAAACAAACAAAACACAAAGTTTGCAAGCTTGGTATTCTATTAAATGTCCTTTGACCAGTATCTGGCCACTTGGAGTGCCTCTGGTGTTGCCGCAAGGAGGTCCTCCATTGTGCATGTAGCAGGGCTCAGGGTGCATTGCAGCAGGTGGTCAGTGGTTTGCTCTTCTCCGCACTCGCATGTCGAGGATTCCACTTTGTAGCCCCATTTCTTAAGATTGGCTCTGCATCTCGTGCCAGAGCGCAATCTGTTCTGCGCCTTCCAAGTCGCCCAGTTTTCTGTGTGCCCAGGGGGGAGTCTCTCATTTGGTATCAGCCATGGATTGAGGTTCTGGGTTTGTGTTGCATCCCAGATCAAGAAACAAGACCAAAAGATTAAATCCACCACTCTGGACTGTAGGAAAAGCAATCCTTGTTTATTGATGAAAAATTGGTTATAAAAGAAAGGTAAATGCAGAGTCAAAAAGCCACAGAAAAACACAGTAGTCAATAGGATCTCTGAACTTGAGCAAAACTTCAAAAGCCACAAAACAATAACCAGGAGTTTGTTAGCCTTTTACTAACCATGAACTTGGAAACTAGAAACCTCTGGGATTACTGGCCATGGAACACAGGAATTCTGCCAAAGCCAGCCACAGTCCCGAACGTTGCTTGACCTAAAGAAGCACCCGGCAGAAACCCTCTTAAACCAAAGAAGCTATTCTTAGAAACGCCCCTTGACTTTTCTGTCTGGGCCTCTTTCTGCTGTAAGCGCTGTGATCTTCGTAGAGATTGGGAAACATTTCTATCTCTGACTATCTGTTCTCTTCGGTCCTCATTAGCAACCCCAGGTGGAGAGATATCTTCCAAACTTCCAAAACATTCTCTTCCAAAACATTCTCTTCCAGCTAACTTCCAAAACATTCTCTTCCAGCTGTTGGGTTTCATTTTCATTCCCACTGACCTCTGCATCAACAACACATTCCACACTGTCAGAGTCAGGGAGAGCTTGCTCAGTTGGAAAAACTATCGGAGAATCCTGTTCACACAGATCAGGATCAGGCTGAACCCCAACAGTTTGAGCCTGCCACTTTTGGACTCTCGCTTGCTGAGGTGTTCCAGCAAGTGTCTCTGTAGATCTTAGAAAACTATTTCTTGATTTAAGTCGTTGACGTGCTGTCTGATACCCAAACAAGGGATGAGCTGGAGATGTCACTGCCTTGGTCAGGGGTCCTCAAACTAAGGCCCGAGGGCTGGATATGGCCCTCCAAGGTCATTTACACGGCCCTCACTCAGGGTCAACCTAAGTGTGAAATGACGTGAAAGCTCACAACAACAACAACAATCTTATCTCATCAGCCAAAAGCAGACCCACGCTTCGCATTGAAATACTAATAAGTTTATATTTCTAAAATTCATTCATTTTAATTATTGTATTGTTTTAAGTGGGGTTTTTTGCACTACAAATATATGTGCAGTGTGCATAGGAATTCATTCAATTTTTTTTTTCAAATTATAATCCGGCCCTCCAACAGTTTGAGTGACTGTGACCTGGCCCTCTGTTTAAAACGTTTGAAGACCCCTGGCCTTGATCCTTTCACTATTGGCTGCTACTTCCCGGCGGATGTCGGGTGGTGCAATACCGGCTAGACAGCGTAATTTCTTCAGTGGTGTAGGGCGCAGACACCCCGTGAAAATGCGGCATAGAATCAAATCAAATTAAATCATTTGTTTCGGTCATTGACCAGCATAGGAAATAGAGTAATAGAATCATACAATCATAGAATCAAAGAGTTGGAAGAGACCTCATGGGCCATTCAGTCCAACCTCCTGCCAAGAAGCAGGAATATTGCATTTAAATCACCCCTCATTAAGCGCCACATCTACTGTTTTAGTGTGGTGAGATGTATTCCACACCGGGCATGCATACTCAGCAGCAGAGTAGCATAGCGCAAGGGCAGATGTCTTCACTGTGTCTGGTTGTGATCTAGGTTACTATGGGGAATACCATTGCTTTGACTATGCGGATCTTCGTTGCCAGTGTGATGTCTCTACGCTTCACTATTTTATCGAGATTGGACATTGCTCTCCTCCCAAGAAGTAAGCATCTCCTGATTTCCTGGCTGCAGTCTGCGTCTGCAGTAATCTTTGCACCTAGAAATACAAAGTCTGTCATGGCCTCCACGTTTTCTCCTTCTATTTACTAGTTGTCAATCATTCTTGTTGCCATAATCTTGGGTTTTTTTATGTTTAACTGCAGCCCAGCTTTTGCACTTTCTTCTTTCACCTTGATTAGAAGACTCCGCAGCTCCTCCTCGCTTTCGACCATCAAAGTGGTGTCATCTGCATATCTAAGGTTGTTAATGTTTCTTCCAGAAATTTTTATCCCAGTCTTGCATTTGTCAAGCCGCACACGTCACATGATGTGTTCTGCATACAAGTTTTTTTTTAAAAAAAATGTTTATTTATACCTTGCTTTTCCTGTCCATGATTGCCCTTTAAACAAATGCAACAGCGAGAGCATAACTTAAATATACCACTTGAATGACAAAGAATTTAAATTTACTAACAGAACTTTCATTACGTTATCAGACTCAGAGAGCAGTTTTTTTTTAAAAAAAAGACAAAATCCGAAATTTGTCAAGTAGGCTCAAATACAAATGCCCCTGGGAGGTATTGACTGCCCTCTCAAAGAGGGGAGGAAATGTGTTAACACTTGATCTCATTTAGAAAAAGACTGTTTATGGGCCACAACCTGAAATGCCATGATGAGATCTTTCTATCCTTCAGCACTGGGCATTAACTGCAAAAGCAAGCAAAGTTTTGCAGTCCAATTGAATGGTGATAGACAAAGGGCAGTGTTCCAGATATTATTGGATTGGAACTCCCAGGACTCCCCAGAGTTGATCTTGTTAGGCTGGATGTTTAATCCCAGCAATGTTTGGAGAGCTCTCCTTTGCCCATTCTTGAACTAAATTGATTTTCATCTAACAGTGCCTTTCTTTGCATGCATCACTCATTGGGTCAGGACTCATGGCCCTTCATGAACATGGATGGTATTACAGTAGAGTCTCATTCATCCAACATAAATGGGCCAGCAGAACATTGGATAAGTGAAAATGTTGGATAATAAGGAGGGATTAAGAAAAAGCCTCCTAAATGTCAAATTACATTATGATTTTACAAATTAAGCACCAAAACATCATGTTATATAACAAATCGTCAGAAAAAACAGTTCAATACACAGTAACATTGTGTAGTAATTACTGTATTTATTAATTTTGGATTATCAAAGCATCACAATGTATTGAAAGAGCTGTGGATCCGCGTGGGAAGCAGACTGTGTTGGATAATACAGAACGTTGGAAAAGGTTGGATAAGCAAGATTCTACTGTACTTATTCAAATGTATATCCAAACATTCAGCTCATCAAAAACAATGCAGCACATCAACACTCAGGCCCCTTCCACATAGCTGAATAAAATCCCAAATTATTTACTTTGAACTGGGATATATGGCAGCGTGGACTCAGATATTCCAGTTCAATGCAGATATTGTGGGTTATTCTACCTTGATATTTTGAGTTACATGGCTGTGCGGAATGCCCTCAGATGCACATCCAGTTGAATATTTGAAACCGATCAAAGGTCCCAGCATTCCCTTAAATGTTTGAATGAACCAATAATTGTGATTCATGCGTCTTCCAGTTAACTTCATTCCAGGATGGGAGGAACCTTTCAAAACCACAGAAGGTTTTGAGAGAAAGTTACTGGTCTAAAGTCCTTTAGATATTCATGAATAAATAAAAGTTTTGAGACTGGGAGTGGGATGCATCTACACGGTAGAATTAGTGTAGTTTGACACTACTTCAATTGTCATGCCTCAATGCTATGTATTCTTGGAGATATAGTTTGATGAGGCACCAAGAATCATTGGCAAAGAAGGCTAAATATCTTGTGAAATGACAACTCCTGTTTTTTGTTTTTGTTTTGGTCGTGTCAAGAGTGACTTGAGAAACTGCAAGTCGCTTCTGGTGTGCCCGGACTTGCACACCAGAAGGGAATGCCCGCATGAGGAGCTGGAGCTGATAGAGGGAGCTCATCCGCACTCTCCCCGGATTCCAACCTGCGACTTCAGTCCTGCTGGCACAGGGGTTTACTCCTGTGATTCCATAGCATTGAGCCATGAAAGTTCTGCCAAACTGCATTAACTCTGCAATGTAGATGTACTGGGTCAAAATTCAGTGGAAAATATTGACGTTCTTGATGGGTCTTTGAAAACAATGGATTATATATGATATTCTTTAAAAAGGATTTCAGAGACCAGATTAGTAAAGCATTTCAAAAAGCTTTCCATGCAATTCCAGGCATGACGTCACCTATCTCAGCTCGATCCATTTCCTCTGCTCTGTTTCTCTTTCTCTCTCTGTATGCAAACAGAGTGGTATTTGCCATGGCAACCAATCCACTGCTATCAAGAAGTCTCTGGAAAATGCATAATAGATCCTGAACTTTGTCTCTGAGTACCATTAGATATAGCTTGCACAAACCTGAAATGCAAGGACATCTAAAAATAGAATATTTTTTAAGTATATGAAGGCTTTTGCCTCTGTGGGAAGAGCACGTCGTCGTTTAATTTATCTATTATATTTCATAGGTGTTCCACTCTTGAAGAAAAATCATAAATGATACTCAGACCAAAAAATGGAAAACTATTAAAAAACAGTGAACACAGAAATCCTACCAACATTAAAGCTATAACCTGTTTCAAGGTGCATCTAAATGGCATGGATTTGATACTGCTTTATTTGTCATGACAGTGGAATTCAAACCCACCAAAAACTGGCACTTAATCCACTAAAGACATATTAAGACATTGGACAAGTT